TTTTAAGTTGCCTGTTACCCACCAAAGGAATCATTGGTCGCTTGTTTCTTAGGCACTTCTTCCCTGATTTTGGGGAGGTGGCCCCTGAGTAAAATGTCTGGAGCAGGCCATGGCTGGCATGGCAATCAGTGTGATTGCACCTGAGCTATGAGGCTTAACTCCAGGGTGCATATTTTGGTTGTTTGCATGGGTTGTTCCATGAGCCAGCTGTGCTAAAATAGGCCAGTTGTTTGAAAGTCATGCTAATGATTTCTTGTGAATATTAACCTCACAGGAATTTCCTTTTTGTTTAACAGTAAATTGATGTTTGTTGGGTTTTTTTTGTGTGTGTGTCTCTAGCAAATTGGTTCTTATGTTTTGAATTTTCATGCTAAAATATTAAACTGAGGAAGTGTGTTGTTTGGGAAGCTGTAAAAACTAATTCCTCTGAAAGACCCTTGAGAACTCATATTTCTTTTTCTAAAAAAAAATAAATACAAAAAGTTTGTCCTTTATTTTCCTGCCAAACTTGGGAGGCTGTATGTGGCACTGAGTGGCTGTTGCTAAAATGTTTGATTTAGGAAGGCATCAATCTGGGGACTTGTTTGGTCATGTGCTATAACTGAGTGAGGACAAATCTGGGCATTTACCATTCTGTCACATTTCTGGGAACTGCATCCTTTTCTGGAGCAGTAAAAAATGATGTGCCTATACTCTTTTTGTCTTCCTTTGACTTTAGGAACGGACTAAGTTCTCTTCTGAAGTATTTCCAGACCACCCTGGTTTACAATCATAATTCACTATATCTAAATGTTTGCTTTTAACAGCAGCCATGCTTTTGAAAAGGACCCTGCCAACATGTTTCTTACAGCATGGAATAAATCTTGGAATGGACTAAAGCTAGTGAAGTAAATAGGCTGCTTAAGCTAATTATTCAGAACTAAGTGGTCTTGTTTACTTGGGTATTTTTTTCTATTTTAAAGACAAAAGTTGCAGCGTGTCCCATTGTCACAAATGTATAGGTATGCAAAAACTTTCTTTACAAGAGGGCTTACAAAATATGCCCAGCTTACTTGATTCAAGCTATTAAGGCTTAAAAATATTACTGGAATTGAAACTTGAATATTTTAAAAGGCCTTAAGTAGACTAAAAACATTTTATCTTTTTTCCCACTTGACAGTGTTTATAGATTAAAATATCTGACATGAACAAGTGCCTTGGGAATTAACTTCTGCAATTAGTGCTGTGTAGATCCTGGGCTTGATTCCCCCATTTTAATATGTCCTTTATTCAGTACCCAAAGGGGAAAAACATGCACTAATCATGTAACTCCCTTTATGTGAATGGATACATATTTTAAATAATTAGAAAACTTCTCATTCCCTATGCAATGTAGTGCTTTCCAGAGGTGAGAGGATGGGGATAGAAATGAAGTAGTGCAAGGAAGGAGAGGCAGTGGTAGGTAAGGGCAGGGAGTTGTCCAGATTTTCTTTCCCGTGGATTTTATGTAAAGTTGCAATTTATCATTGCTGCAGTAAAACTGCTGTTAGGTTTGGGTTTGTTCTCTCTTGTTTTCTATTAGTCTATTAGCAAAAAGTAGCTTTTATGTGAAGAGAAAGAAGCAGGAAATGGCAGGGAATGAGCTCAAGGTATTTATGACAGGGTGTGCTGTATTTAGAGACTATGTGGGAGTCTGGAAACTCGTGCTCAAACCATCAAACCATGACACCAGCAGAGCATTCTGATTGGGTGCTGTGGCCACCCTGACTTCTGCACTCTGAAGTTTGTTTGCAGAATGTAATGGGTAAGGTGTGTTTTTTTGTTTGGCTTTTTTTGTTTTATTTGTTTTTTCTTGGTTAGCCATTCAGTGGAAGAATCTTTAAGCTACAATCCCTCATGTCTATTCTTTTCTAACTAAATTAACCGACTAACAGTTGTTAGTTAATTATTTAATGTGAACATTTTTTCCAGATATTTTTAGAGTCCTTTTCAGATTTCAGGTGAAAGAAATTAAATGAAGCAATAGTCTTGTTTAAGAAGGAAGTTAGCACACTGCAAGAGAATCTTTATCTAGTACCTGGTGTATCTTACCTCCTGCAGCTTAGAGAGCTCACTGAGTATGCTGAGCACCATTCTTGCCTCACTTGAGTAACAATCTATTACTGGTAGCCTTCCTGCACTTTTTCAGTAGTTTCACTGATAGGGTATTACTGGGTGTTCAGGAAGGGGTGCTCAGGGCAGTGTTCCTGGGCAGCAAAAGGATAGACATCCTTACAGGAAGGTAGTGCCCAACCATTCAGATATTTCAGAAGACTATTGCTAGTTTTGACCATCAATAGAAATTCTTGGAAAGAAAAAAAAATAAATTGTGAAGGGCTCTGCTGTTGAAGGAGGGTGTTGATAGAGCAAGTTGCCAGTCAATAGCACATGTTGTTTGGTTTTCCCTAAGTGATGTTCTACCTTCTGCTGTTCCAGGATGTTTGTCAGTGAGAGCCAAAGCGCTGGCAGGAAAATTATGCTTCTGCTGTGAAGCAGGTGATAAAAATGCCTGCAGTAATCCAGTTGTGTACACTTCTTAGAAAACTCTGGGAAGGACCAACTCCTGTCTATTATTTTTCTCACTGGGCTGTTTCTGAAGGCTTGTAATTTTGGTCTGCAGTAATCACACAGTATTTCAGCGGGCAGAACTGAATCACAGTGTTTACACACACAAACGCAGAACTGCACTCTGAAGTGCATACACCCAACACACCTGTACTTTAAATATGTGTCTCCATTTAGGTCTTTAAAAGAGGTTTGCAAAATGTCATCATGCTGTGGTTGTGGCATTTTAGCAAAGATGCAGACAAATGATGAGAAAAAAGGAGATGTTGTCTCTAGGAACTTGGTGAAAATAAGGATACGGTGCAGTCTTTTTCACTTGGCTTTGCTTTTCTTGCTTCCTTTATTAGAAGTAGTAAATGGGCAATGAGATACGTGCCTCAGTGAGCAGAAAACTTTATTAAAATAAGCAAATGGAGCCCACGCTTCAAACTGAAAAACGTTTATCTGTTGGTGGCCAGCCTGGCTGCAGATGAGCTTGTGCTGTTCTCTCTTGGCATATCAGACCTGAATTTGGTCCTGAAAGATAAGGGGTCTCTGCCAGTGTTCCACTGTGCTGGTTTGTTTTTGATGAGTATAAATTTCTCCACTTTGTTTCCACCATTTCTTGGGTTTCTTTGATTTTGCCCAGCTTTTGCTAAAGTTCAGAGAGGTTCATAGTCTGTAGAAGTGAAGAATTTTAGTTGTATTTGTCAGGCCTAATCTCCTTCCTTGACACCAGAATCATTTTCCTTGGCATAATTCACTAGTAAAAAAAAAAAGGATATTTTATTTTTTTTCCTAATTTATGGGGGGAAAAGCCAGAGGAAGGACTTAAAAGACTCTATTGCTTTATTGCCTCTGCTGATCTTGCTTGGTAATAATTAATGTTAACTTCCTTAGTGACAGAGCTTTCTTAGGGTTGAAGAGAAGTGGGAATAAGAGCAAGAAAAATGCTGCTGGCACTCCACAAGTAGCACTATTTGTGCTTAAATGTTTGTCATTCTGTAATTTCTAGAGATGCCCATAGTTTGTCACTGGCATTCATGCTGTTTCTTGTGGACATTGCAATCAAAGTGGCTAAGTCTAATACGTGAATCCATTGTGCACACTTCTGTCTTTTCCAGTGTATAAATTAATTCATATAATGAGTATCTAGTAAGAGCCATGTATAATTACTCTAAATTCCACGGGTCACTCTTAAATCTTACCCATTTCTGCATGCACCAGTATGGAGCTTGTTTTTTCAAACCAAGGGGATGTCTGTTTGCTGGTGGCCTGGTGGAGAGGAGGCAGCCTGTGTTTCAGGATCTGGTGTAGTTGTCCATGTCTGTCTTTCTCCGCCCCTCTTGAAATTTGATTTGTATCTTCCTTTTTAGACCAGGCTTGGAAGAAGTGGGATTTTTGGATGGAGGTGAGCTGGCTGTGAACTTAGAGCACTAGAAGTGAAACTAATGCTGGGGGGTTGGGGGAAGCAGTTGAAAGCCCGTGGATAGGGATGCATTTGCACCTGGAAGTCAGGGTGTGAAAAGTATGTGTAAAGGTGCAAATGAAGGTGACAAAGCATGCCTGCACCTTTAGATTTTGCAGCTGTGTCGCTATCATCTGCTTTGCTGACAGTGTTTCTGACCCAACTTCCTTGACTTCAGGAGGCTGCAGCAGTTCCTGCTTCGTGTTTTACGTGGAAATGCTTAGATGGAGTGACCTTAAGCAACCCACAGCATTAGAGTTGATACTTGAGGGAGTACATACAGTGTTCCTTTACAAAATCAGTGCACAAGTTAAATATAGTTACAGATAGAGAACTTGTTACACAGATTATTGAAAGAGATTGGACCCAAGCTTTTTCTTTTGGCGGTTGCAGAAACAGAATAAAATTGATGTAATTTCTCTTAGGGGGGGAAAAATGTGTTTTAAATTGAACATGCTTTATTTGTCAGTGCTTATGTTCAGTGTCCAGCTTAGTGAGGTGAGGTCTTCTGAATTTGGACTTGGGATAATACAGCACTAATTTAACCTTTCACTGTTGTTGATAATCAAAACCAATTTTCACATTTGGTGGCTGTTTGGTGGTCAAGTGAAAATTGCTTTGCTGGATGTTCTGGAGTTGTGTCATTTTGTTTAAAGCTGTTAACAGGAAGCTGAACAGGAAAAAAATCCTGGAAAGTTCTGTAGCCAGAATCTCTGCTAAGAGGCAAAACCAGGATGAATGTAAAATCAGCTCTTTGCTCATTATCTTAGAGCTTGTTGTTCATTAAAACTGACTTCCTGCAATTGTTCCCAATGCATGGTGCATTCTGTGAGAAAGATGTTGGAGACTTTGGCTTCTAGGAAAGAAGGGCTTTCTTGGTTCCAGGCAGTGGGAAACATGTAAACTGACAGTTAAAAGGGAACTGTCACTGGGCATGTAGCAATGCCTTTGGCAGTTGTTTCTTACTCAAATGCACAAAGGAGCCAGAGTGACAACGTGAGAGGCAGAGCAATGATTTGGCTGCTGAAGGTTAGATTAAAGACTAATACATTTGTGTGAAGGACTCTTACTACTTCTGGTGGTATTTTTCTTGCAGTTTTGGAGATGCTATTGCGATTGGAATTGCTGTTTTGGCAGTGATCATAATCACTATTATTCTGTGCCTCACATGTTCATGTTGCTGTTTGTATAAAGCGTGTCGGCGACCACGGCGTAAGTACCCGTGAATTTATTTTCTTTTTCATATTTTTTAACAAGACTTCCCTTTCCACACACACCCCTCACTCCACCCAGAGAATTTGGTTCATATAAAAGGTGAAAATAATCTTGCCTGACCTCTCTGCTACAAAAGCTGTAATACCTAAAAATTAAAAATAAGGATTTAAGCCGCTTCAGAATGTGAGGTAGCAGAGAGATGTTTTGGAATTTTTTCTAGGCATTTAGAAGTTCTCTTTCCCCAGCCCCTCAGTGTGTGGATTTGTGGGGTTTTGGGTTGTTCTGAGTTTGGTTTGGTTTGTTTAGGAAAGCGGGAGATAGAATAAGGTATTATTTTTTTCCCAATCTCTTAAAAATGTACCTGAAAAATACACCAAAGGCCCAGGACTGCAACAGTGCGATCTTGAGCAGTCTGTACTTGTGGTATAAAGAAGAAGATCTTGAAAACAAATTACTGCAGTTCATCAGGAACCGTTAATACTCTTATTCAATAAGAGTTAAGAAGCAATGGTCCAACATCAGCTCCTGAAAAAAATAAATGATTTAATATGTATTTGCCTTTCTGACTGTTATTTAAAAACATGCTAACACATGTATTGATATGTAGGCGCCATACAAAAGGGAACTCATTTGGGCAAGCATTGTAGGAAGCACCTTACCCAATAAAGGAGATCTTTAGCACATTTAATGTTTAAAAGCAGGTAACATTTCAAAATTAGTAGTCTCATACCAAATCATGGATAACTTGGCTTCAGGGTTGAGTTCCTAGTTTTTGAACAGTGCAAGAAAATAATTCTTTGCTCTTTGTGGTTGAGAAACAAAGAGGAACAAGTTGGCTGCTCTCTCAGTACAGGAAGGCTCTCATTTCCACAGAGATGGATGGCAGGTTATTTAGAGACACTAATTTCTAAATCTTTAATGGAATTTTGAAAGTGGAATTGCCCAGATTTTGAAGTGCAAAATTGATCTGAAGAGAAAATGTGTTTTACATTACTGTTTTCCTGTCCCAGGTGATCTGCTAGAGCCACCAGCACTAACCATGGTCCTTTTGCTTATTTGTAGCTGTTGTCACCACCACTACTGCCACTACAGTGGTTCATGCTCCCTATCCCCAGCAACAGGGAGTGCCACCCAGCTACCCAGTGGCCCCATATCAAGGATATCAGGCCATGCCTATCCAGCCACAGCCGGGAACGCTGGTGGCCCCGTACCCTGCGCAGTATCCTCCCCCTTACCCCATGCAGCCACCAGGACCCCCAGCTTATCATGAAACGGAGGCAGGTAAGGCAGCACTGAGTGTTTCTTCATCTCTTAAGTAGCTAAAGAGACAGTCGCTTCAGAGCCAATCTTGAATTATTTATATGTATTCTATGGCTATATGAATGTAAATGTAAACTTTGTAACGCTCAAGCTGTGGTTGATGCTGTAATTGGCCCTTGCTGAATTTTCCCTAACACCATTTCTGTGCTAAACATTGCAAGAGGAGATGCAGCTGAAGCTGTATTGGCAGTTTGCTGCTATGTGATACTGTCAGTGGATCCAGTAGAATGTTTTACTAATTCAGCTGAAACTTCATATTAAATTCTAAGTCCAGTGAACAGATGTATAGCAGTTGGGTGTTCTTACATACCCTTTCCAACCTAATATTGCCTAGATGATTCAATTGTACACAGATGGCATGCTGTAGTAGTTTGTCACTATATTTATAGAATACCAAGTCTCTGATAAACTTCAGGCAAGTTTACCAATGACTAGCAGTGGAATTATCACATCTGTTTTCTTCTACTTTCCTTCTTTCACAGCATTGTTTTCCTGCAGCTTTACTGTTGCCATTAGTAATTCACAGTTTTGCTGGGAATAACTGTTCTCTGAACAACTGGCTTCTGACTGTTCAGAGAGGCCAAAACCAGGCTGTTGCCTGTCCCAGGATCTCCAAGCCCTCTTACATTGCTAATGTGCAAACCAGTCTCACATGTGAAAACACTGACTTGGCAGGCCTGCTGACTTTATTTTACAGTTGTAAACTATGAAGAGGTTGTGGGGTTTATGGGATTACCCCAAAGTGCTTTGGCTTCATCTTTATCATATGAAGGAGCCGGTAAACTAGTAATTTTGCTTCTCATACTCAAACTGTTGCTGGTTGGTTAGTTCTTAATATTCTTGTTTTTTCTTGTGAAAAATCTCAAAGTACTTTGCATGTTGCCAGCTGAGAATTTCTCAAAATGAGAGATCTTCCCTTTATTTCTCTTGCCTGTTAACCAGAGGGCAGTCTCTTAATTCCATCACATGCAAGGGAGAGAACACCTGCTCTGTCTCACAGGAGCCAAACCTACTCATTGACAAGATCAGTGAAAGATAACCACACCTGTACATTCCAGGGATCTGATCAATGCTCCATTATTTGAACTAAGTTGTGCTATTTGACAGACCTGAAATGAAGTTGTCCCTTGAGAGCAGATTGTCTGTCAACACTAGAAAACAAGGATATCTTCCAAGTGATGTAGATCTGATTTATACATCAGACTCTTCAGTGTTCTCAGTAGTGGTAGGACACTTTTTTATTTCAATTTTTTAAATAACTCTGTTACACTTAGCAGGAAAACCTTCTCCCTGAAGGAATCCTAAGATGCTTTTTCTAGTTCTTACTTTCACTTCTTGACATACTATCAGGTATATCCTGTTTGTGCATCTCTGACTTCCACTGGCTGGTGGTTTGGTTTTTTTTTTTTTTGACCAGATCCATTCTTTTTGGTAGACTATGTTCTCCCCTGAAGACTTAACCATGTGATTGTGGCTACCATAATACATGTGTACACTCAAGCATCAAAAAAACCCCACAAGAGCAAAGGTTTTGGTCATCTTTTAAAATGCAGATGCTTTATGAGTTAGCGCAGACTGGTCTTGAGTCCAATTAAGATGCTGCATTAGTTGAACCTCTTAACTGTGTGCTCAAAGTAGAAGTTGCCGTTATAGATTGGGAATTAAAAATGTAAATTTTACAAATATGTTTTTTCTTGTGTTTTGCTTTTGCAGCTGGTACTGGAGCCCCTTACCCAATCAGCCAGCCCCCTTACAACCCTGCTTACATGGATCATCAGAATCCCACCTATTGAAAAGATCTACTATGTTTCTGCATACAAAACTTTTTAAAGTATAATTTGTGCTGTTTACACTGTGCAACTGTCGTATATTTTTCTGGAAGACAGCAATCTTTTGTCTAAGTAAAGTAAAAGTTGTTTCAGTATCTATTTTTTTTAAATGCTCCAAGTATGAGGCAGGAGTATCTTTCTTGCAGAAGTTGTTAATTTATACCTCAAGCAAATACATGGAGTTTGTTCTATATACAGTGAGAAAAGCAGGAAGTAGTACTTCAGAAGTAAGAACCACAAGAACATTTGCTGTGCAATAATTTTGAAAGGAATAATCTAGTATGAGCTTTACTTGACACCCAAAGCTGTAGCAATCTTTTGCACAGTATTAAAACATAAAAACCTAATCTCTGTGGAACTACCTGATACATGTTTTATATGTTCTGCCTGTTTTGATGCTACTATTGTTAGGTAAAATACAATGTACTGCATTTAATTTACCATTCAAAAGGGAAGTTTCCTTTTTTGAAACACATTTTGCCTTCATTAAGGGGTAGCAAGCCACATTTAATTGTCTTTGAACTAGTTGCATTTTTCTGTGCTAAGTAGTGTGAACTGATAATTTCCTTGTTTTCTTTCCTAATTTTGAGGCTTAAAACCTGTGCCTTTATTGGGTGTTTTCTCAGGCCATTTTAATTTATAGCTAGAAATTAACAGCACAACCAAACTGTAGGTCACTTAGTGGAACAAATAGATAAAAAGCTGAAAACCTGAGAATTCTTAATAAAAATTATTGGACAAGTATTTGTTGTCCAAGTGTTATTGGACAAGTTTACTTAAGTCATGTGTTGTTGATGGGTTTGGAAGAAAAATTAGCACCTTAATTGTATGTTAAGCAGAAGTACCTGCCAGTGTTTAAAGGAAGGAGTTTATTTTACAGAAGAGATGGGATGTCAGAAATAGGTTGGGGTTTTAAAATGCTGTGGGTAGGTCACTGTCTGTCTCTAGTGGGAAGTGTAGATGGCAAGAACCAAGGGATGACAGATGTTCATTAATTCAGTCTGTGTTTGAATAATAATATGGAAGAGGGAGGGATGAGAAATCCCAGCCTAACGCACAGTAGAGATTAAATCTCCTTTTTGTTCTTAGCATCCCCATGAAGCTGAGCAGAGAATGAGAAGTTGGGGAACAGAAGGGTGGTAGATCTGCTTGCAGTGAGGTCATGTATTTTCAAGAAGGGGGTGCTCGCAGTTGTGAAACTGCTTGAGAAGTCCTCACGACTGACACCAGTGTTTGCAAGGCTTTTGGCTCCATACATCTTGTATTGATCAAACAAATTGTGTTTTTTTTAGTGTCCTCTACAATTCTATCTTTTCTAATGTTGAAATACAACTTGTTATTTCTCAGTAGAGCTGTCTAATCTGTTGTATGTATCACTGTGAAATAATTAGTGAAATAATTTTGACACATCTCATACACAGATGTTACTTTGTTAGAGAGGTCATTAATCCATTTGTCTTGAAATTCTACATTTGGGATATATAACTGTTTGAGAAATATTAATGGTGGATTTGTTTTACCTCATATGGTGGATGGAAAGTTCTACTTTCAAAGGCAGCCTTATTCTCTTGATTTTTTGAGTCTGTATCTGGGTAATTCCATTTTTTTTCAAGTAAGTCTTTGGGGCATTTCAGAAGAAACTTGTAGGGCACTTTTAGCATTGAGATTCGTGGCACCTACACTCTTCTGTGACACCTCTCTGAGAGTGTTGAGGTTAATAGCATGAAATGGTGCCACGAGGCACTAGGAGAGCACACACACCCTGTATCTCCGTGTTGCTCCTCTTTCCTGCCTCATAAGCCAATGCTTTGTTACATTGTTAGGAGCTGTGTGAGAACAACCAAAAATGGCCAGTGGCTTCTGAATGGAGGATGAAGTGTTCCTTCAAATCTGGAATTTTATGTGTGGGAGGGCACTGAGTAACTGCAGAACTAATTCCCTTGCTATGGATTCTGCCCCGTGTGTTTTTATTCCTACTGAAGGAGGGCAGAGGCTATCCCAGCACCTTGGGTAGGCAAGGGGCTTGCACAGGGCCTGGCTGGTGAGATGCAGCTCTCAGGGCACAGGTGCATGATGCCAGTGTTGAGCTTCACAGGGTTGTCACTCTGCACCTCTCTTCCTTTCCTCCATCTGGTGTGACAGAGCCTGCAGTTTGTGGCAGCATTAGTAGGGTTATGTTTTGGTTATGAAAGGAGAATCTGCGATTTCCTGAGAAGTTGGGTCAGTCATGGCAACATTAACAGAGGTCCCCAAATCTGAAGTTTTGGTGCAGATGTTGCACAGACCAAAAGAACTGCCCTGAGCACCACTGCATGTGGGAGGAGGTGAGGGATAGGGTTAAAGAGCCTGAAAATGTACACCTTTCCTTCAGTGAACATACAGTAATGATAACTATATACAAGTGAAAAGATGAATCATTGATATACAAGGAGCTAATTTAGTAGTAGTGTTACTGCTTGAGTCACAAAACTTGTTGAAAGAGGAGAAAATGGTCTGCTTTCCCAGCTTCATAATTGGAGCACTTAATCAGATCTTTCCTTATTGTTGGTGTATTAATCATTATTAACAATGAGGTGTAGGACCAAATTGTATTTAGTTACTGCCATGCAACCCGTTAAAACTTGTTTTCAGATAGTTAAGAGAATGGGATGGTTAAAGAACAGATGGAGAAGTTGATCCATAAACTTTTAGTTCAAGCACTGCTGATGTGTCAGTCCAAGGAGCTGTTGCCTTCATGTCAAACTAGTTATCTGCAGTGCCATGGGGGAGGGGGAGTGGAATTACAGTTTTTAATGTTGAAAGAACATATGTTCATTTTTATTATTTTTTTTTTAATTCTGTAAGTGCCTTTGTTTCAGAAGTGTTTTGTGAAACTAAGTACAGTAGTGTATTCTGTTGTGCTGAACTTACTAGGTAACCATTGTTGATTTTATTACATCCTGTAACCTAGCTTTGTATGTTGTTTGTAGTTTAAACATAAGTATACAGAAGAAGTGGCATAATCTCTATGCACCTTTGTAATAAATGCAGTGTTTTAAGTATATTCTATTGATTTTGTTTTCTTAGCCTCAATTTGAGTGTTATTTAGGAGTGTATCTGCAAAACTACCTTTTACTTCATTGTGTTTGACAGCTGGTGTTTCCAAATGTTCTTTAAGTCCCCTTGTATCTTGAATATCACTTTTGGTATTGTCAACTGAAACCTAATCAAAATTGCATGTCACAACATAGACCTAGAACAATACAAGCTCCTGAATGATATTCTGACAGTTTGCTTCAAAGCCAATCTAAAGGAGTTGCTTCCAAGGCCTTTTCTGGCCTAAGGAATAAATTCATTGCATTAAGTTTGAATGCATTAGCTCACAAAGGCCAAGACATTTGAAAAGTCTAGTGAAGACAAGATGATAGACTTAGAAGAAGTCTATAATTTGATGAAAGTTTAGTATCTTGTCAACATGTATTTTGATTTGTGTGTTCAATATCATGCCTCATCTATCAACTTGGCGAATTCAACATCTGGTAAGTGATGCTTTCTATTCTGTGAAAACATTTTTCATGTTTTTGTGTACTTCAAATAATCTTGAAAGAACGATTTTGAAAGGTTCTCTTCATGCCCCTGACTCAGCCCTTTACCTGAAAGTATTTTTAGTAGGTCAAGAATGTTTTTCTTAAGACACCAACTAGCACTGGACTGGTTGAGGGTGTTCAGTATAGAAGCATTATTACCTTGAATATCCAGCCAAGTTTCCAGTGTAGGATTTAAAAGAAAGGGAGCCCCCCCACACACACTTCTTCTGAAAGAGTTGTTTACTGTGGATAATGTAGTTTTGTAATGTTACTTCTTGAATTTGAGTTCCAGCTCCAGTTGATAATGTGTTGCAGCTGAAGTGTAGATCATTTCACTTCCAATTTTATTTCTCTTTTTCTCAACAGAGTTTCTATTATTCAAGGTTCCAAAGATATCTTCACACTGAAAAATTGCAGCAAAATGTTGTATAGGAGAGCAGAATGCTGAACTAAAAAGCTGAGAGCCCAGGGTCAGGTGAGGAATACTGCTAATTATGTTTTTGTCACATTTAATCAGCAGTTGTTTATGGTAATATGAATTTTTCCAGAAAAAAAAATTGGCATGCATCTTAAAATCCACAGCAGGGTTGCATGGAGAAACTGGACACAAAGGAGGAAAAAACTTTAGCAATTATTTCCAAACAAGCAGTTGAAGTGACTTTTGTATTGGTTACTGAAGACTTTCCATTCTAGTATTTCTTGCTCCTAAAGTTGGTTTTCATGGTTCATTCTGGTGCTTGGCCCTGGAACGAGGTAGGATCTGCTTTACAGCCTACAGTGGGACAGGGCCTTTACAGTGGGACAGGTGTTGCAGTGAAGTGTGCTGTAAAGTTCAGTAGCAAAACATTGTTCAGATACGCCCTGTGCCAGTTCACTAAATATTTTACATTATTGAAACACCATTTACTTCATCTCTGTACACAGCACCTGCTGTGCATCTGAATCCATGCCAGGGCCTCAGGTCCTCAAAGCACCACAGGAAGATGCTTAGCAATGCAGTGGTGCCTCCTGCACTGCAGCTGTTCAGGGAGTGGTGTCATTAGATCTGAAAGTACAAGTCAGCAGGGCTGTCATCCTCTCTGCATCAAGTTGTCAGAGGAATGGGTAAGGTAGCAGAGGGATCTGCTTTCTTCATCTGGCTCCTGACTAGCTTTAGTCCTGACTGCTCAGTACACTTCACTGAGGAGGAAAAAGCCAACTGTTCTTAGCTTTGAGCAAAGGGGAAACTCCAGTTGCCATACCCATGGGCAAGAAAACTGAGGAATGTAATAATCACTATGAGTGTTTTTTGTTGTTGCTCAATACTCTCTTACTCAGTCCTGTGGCTGTGCTTGCTGCCAGAGTAAATTCCTTTCTCAGTTAATGCAGAGGCACAGCTTATCTAGAGCATGTTGGGAAAATGCAAACTGGCCTTGAAAAAAGAGCTGCTATGCTGTGAATTCTTCAGGGAGTGTCTGATAAGTACAGTATGTTATTTTTTGGTGATGAAGATAGTAAACCAGTAGCCCTATAATCTGTAAAAATGCTTGAGGGTTGATCAGCTGTTGCATAAATGTTGGATCTCTCTCATCACAAGAAAAAAAATCACAGGAGAATGTAAAAAGAAAATAAATAGTGAATACAGTCTTGCAATAATCCTGGCAAAAGAGTGGTTGCTGTAAACGACATAACAGATAATAGCAGTTCTGTAGGTGTTCCTGTGTCTGCCTTTTCCCTTCAGGAGTGCAGCTGCATTTTTCGTTAGGAGCGTGAATTGTTCAGGTACAGAAAATGCCTTTGTTTCCAAGCTATGGTTTAATGTCCTAACACCACACTGTTAAGTGTTCTACAGTGAAGGTGTAGGGCTGGGGGGGATGCTTGCTTTTATATAGCCTGGGCTACACCACTTTGAAGTCCAAAGTAGGAAGAAGACAATCAGAGTGGAGATAGACACCTCAGGCAGTTGTCTGTTAGAGTAGGTGGATGGGAAGAGATGCAATTCCAGAGGGAAGAGTCAGGTATTTTCCTGGATTTTTTTTTTTTCCACAGATAACACTTCCGTTTATATAAAGTTTAGCACTAGTACACTTCTCCATTTTACCAACTTGTCATACACACACCCTTTAAATGAGGCCAGGAATTTTTTTAACCACTTTCTGTAAATTCGGATTGTTGCAGCAACTTGGGATTCCTTTCCTGGTTTTTGTCCAAACTCCACTTAACAGTTCATTTGGTTTCAATTTGGGATTTAAATGCATCTTATCTCTATAAACTCAAATTATGTTTAAAGAAATGAAGTGGTAAGAACAGCATAGAGCAGCTGAAAAGCGATGGTAGATCACTGAATGTTGGGATAGCAACTACCACATCTTTGTTAGGACAGCTCAGTTTGCCACTCACAGCAGGCTAATTGCCAGGGACTGCTGTACCACCCCACAGCTCATGGGGCTATTTATAAATAATTTTCTTAATATTTATTTTGGCTTTGAGTAAGGAAGGGACTTTTAACTGGTACTTTCAAGATCTGCTCTCTAATCTTAAAAGCCAGGAAGTGCTGCAGTAGGTTTTTTTGTTGTTGTTGTTTTTGGTTTTTTCCTTGGTTTGTGGTTTGGGTTTTTTTTAAGTGGACAAGTCACATGATTTTGTC